TTTGCTCGCATTCATTTCCGGAGGAAGCAGTCATTCAGAAGCCCCGGATTGATTGATTGCCCGGGGCTAATCCCCACCTGTAACCACTTAGGGAGGCTTATCTCTCCGATCTCTAACAGAACGAAGCATTTAGAAGTGCCCTGCTGCAACGAAGGAAGTAACAGAGAGAGGTGCTTACAATTTGAGGTTTGGCTGCAGAGGGTAGGGATGGGAGGGAGGGGGGTAGCACTCTGCTCATTACCCCCAGGATCTTCACTTTTACCACATTTGGGGTAATTTACCCCTATTCTCCGACCTATGTTCTATGCTATTTGCTTTGTAAGCACTATTTTGCGGTATATCCTTATTTCTGTTTGTGGAAAACAGCAGTGCCAATCATCCCAGTACCAGTGGACAGACAAATAATGGATGATTATTTGAAATTTTTAAATGTCAGCTCTTATGTCATGTGAAATATGCCCCTGACACTGAGGCTCCAGTTGTCCTGACCCAAATGCAACAGCTGTGTATTTTAACTTGCATGTTTGGAAGCCAGCTAGCATAACTTAATGAAATGCCAAATCAACAACAAAGTCTGAAACCAAATCATACCATTCTGTGATACATATATGAGGTTAACAGGGATTCTGTTCACCGGCTGATTGGTCTGAGCCCTCCCAACTTCCATTCTTCAGCCAGGCAGATGGTCCTTTTATGACAGAAGGCTCATGTTCTCAGCAGCCTGACAGCAGGGGCACATTGAACTGACATTTATTTCCACTGTTTCATAGACGAGGGGAAAAAAAAAAGAGTGGCTCACCAGCCTTGCATTGATGTGGTGGATGTGGCATATGCAGGTAAGAGGCACTGAAAGCTAGCAGGGCTGTCCAGTTTCTCTGCCAAGGTCCCCCGTGTACATTAATGACCAAAGGTGACATACATTTATAATGCACGACTTTCGTGAAGCTGTTATGCCAAGCAGTTTGAAGCAGCAAAGACAAGGTTGCAGAACAACCAGTAAACAAGCAGATGTTAAAATCTAGAAGCATCCCACTGTAAGGCTTCATTAGTAAATAACATTAGTTCATTTTTTTTGGAAGTATCAATTAATTACACCTGATTTCTCTTTCACATGACCATTATTTGCCCTATTGCAATTGTGCAGCCTTTGAAAGCATGTTGTTCCCTGCTAATGGTAGGGGGGGGGGGCTTTGGACCACAGTTCCTAAAATGCGCAACCAGCACAGCCACCAACCATTTGTCCATGGTAACTCTGGGCACTGCAGCCTGTCCAAACTAAGCATCCATTGAATCAGTCAATCAACAAATAAATAAAACAGTTCCAAGCACTGCTGTCACCAAATTAGAGAACTCTCCACTGATTGAACAGTCACATCCAAAACACTGGTCTACCTCCATCCTGCTTATGACTGGTCCTTATTTCTCTTACAGAAATAACCAGCCAGAAAAGCCGGGTGTGCAGGAAGGTGATGGTGATTATTTGTCTGAAAGACAGAAATTAAACTCCACACGTTGTCGTTTAGTCGTTTAGTCGTGTCCGACTCTTCATGACCCCATGGACCAGAGCACGCCAGGCCCTCCTATCTTCCACTGCCTCCCGGAGTTCAGTCAATTTCATGTTGGTTGCTTTGCAGACATTGTCCAGCCATCTCATCCTCTGTCATCCCCTTCTCCTCTTCCCGTCACACTTTCCCAACATCTGGGTCTTTTCCAAGGAGTCTTCTCTTCTCATCAGATGGCCAAAGTACTGGAGCCTCAGCTTCAGGATCTGTCCTTCCAGTGAGCACTCAGGGTTGATTTCCTTCAAAATGGATAGGTTTGTTCTCTTTGCAGTCCAGGGGCCTCTCAAGAGCCTCCTCCAGCACCACAATTCAAAAGCATCAATTCTTCAGTGGTCAGCCTCCTTTACGGTCCAGCTCTCGCTTCCATACAACGCTACTGGAAAAACCATAGCTTTGCCTATGCGGACCTTTGTCGGCAAGGTGATGTCTCTGCTTTTTAAGATGCTGTCAAGGTTTGTCATCGCTTTCCTCCCCAGAAGCAGGCGTCTTTTAATTTCGGGGCTGCTGTCTCCATCTGCAGTGATCATGGAGCCCAAGAAAGTAAAATCTGTCACTGCCTCCATATCTTCCCCTTCTATTTGCCAGGAGGTGATGGGACCAGTGGCCATTATCTTAGTTTTTTTTGATGTTGAGTTTCAGGCCGTTTTTTGCATTCTCCTCTTTCACCCTCATTACAAGGTTCTTTAATTCCTCCTCACTTTCTGCCATCAGAGTGGTATCATCTGCAAATCTGCGATTGTTGATATTTCTTCCTGCAATCTTAATTCCGTTTTGGGATTCCTCCAGTCCAGCCTTCCGCATGATGTATTCTGCATATAAGTTAAATAAGCCAGGGGACAATATACAGCCTTGTCGTACTCCGTTCCCAATTTTGAACCAATCAGTTGTTCCATATCCAGTTCTAACTG